TCTACCTCAGAGGTGTCTGTTTATACTAAAATTCAGGAGCTGCCTTCCTGGTTATATATATAAAAAAGAAAAAAAAAATCTTCAAGTGTTTTATCAACACCTCTTTGCCTTTTAAGTGGATATTTTATGACCACATGCTTTTCCCCTGGTATTTGGGATGTTATTTTTATATCCCCATTAACACAAGTTGAAAGCAGATCAATCTTCTTTGTTTATGCTTAACGTCTTCTGCAATTTCAACAGGTGAATGACAAAAGTGTAAGGGAAAAGAGAAGTCTGGTGTGATTTGTTTTTATAGGAAAATAGGAACAATAACAGAAATGTACTGCAGATAGCTATTTCCATTTCAAGTAAATGTTGATAAATCACTGCTAATAAGTAACCTCATATCTGGCCACTGTTGGGCAGAAATCTCATACTTTCTATAGTCTGTATTCAATGACAGCCAGCATTTTAAAACTTTACTGTTTTGGTGACTTAAAGTAGCAAAAACTTATTAATATTGAAAAACTAAGAAAACTGACATCTACTTTTTGGCACAATTAATTTTCTCTCTCTGGCATATTCCTTTGCTTTTTCTTTTACATGCCAAACTCTTCAGTAAATGCTATGCACCTCTATCCAGAGGAAAACCTGTTCTGACAATGCTCTAATGATTTGGAAAGCTTAAGAAAGTCCAAGTCTTTGCTTCTGCCACAAATCTATTTGAGTTTTTAGCCACTTCTATATCATTTCTTCTTTTATTTGTGCCTGTGAGCCTAGAAACACCTAAACACAGTATTAACTAGAATGCTGGAAGGGCATGTTCTTGGAGAGAAATGCTTTAAAGCATAAATAAGGTGAGTCTTTCTCCTCATCATGACATCAAGTACTGTAAGAGTGTAAGCCTAGGCTGGTGTTGATGTATAAAGAAACAAAAAGTCAGGGAAGGGGCTCAGAAGAATCCAGCTTCTATAGCTCATCAGAAACAGCTTTATTGGGATCTGTGAATTATCTTTCCAGTTTCCTGCCTGTTCAAGGCAGTAAGATGATTTGTAGTTGCATGCCAGATAAGTTGGGAACAAAAGTGAGTCACTGGGCCCATAGAAGCTAGGGGTGTATTTATGTTTTTGTGGAGTACTTTTAGCTACTGCTAGGCAGAGCTAGAAGGGTAGCTCCTGGCTTCCCTAGTTGGAGGGGATTTGGCAGTTCCCAGAGAACCAGCTCTCCCAAGGAACTGGCTGAAGCCCATTTGCAGGAGGTTTTCTTTGTCCCAAGCACACCTATGTGCAGCCCAAATGTGTCACCATAAAACCTCTTGGCACCTACATGGTGCTCCTCAGCATAGAATTTCAAAGCCCTGTGTGTGTGCGGGCGGCCCCAGGCTCGCCTCTGCTTTGGGGGGTGGGGGGTGAGTTCTGTGGATTATGGAGCTGGGGCTTGCCTAGGGAGCTTCTTCCACATGTGAGTCCTTAACCACTGGGGAATATTCTCTCCAAGGTACTTATTCTTGTCCTCAAGACATGATTTGACCTCCTTGCCCCCCTCAGGGTCTATGTCTAGGTATTGCTGCTGCTGGCAGACAACACTGCTGCATCCCTGGTACAGAGGAGGCGGAGAAGCTCCTGTGCTCCTGGATTCAGGTGGAAAGCCTGCCCTGCTGAGGGAGGCTGTACAAGCCTCCTGAATCCTCAGCTAATGCCCTGCCTGCAAGGCCTCCTCCTTTGCATTGCTGTTCCTCCTGCTAAATAGAGCAGTTCTCTTATCCTTCCAGGTGCCCCAGAACAGCCCCTGGTCCCTGAGGTAGAAAATGAACCCAGAGTCTATTGTCATATCCTTGGTACCAGCAACTGCTCCCTCCAGCAGCACCAAAGGAGTTAACTGGTATAAAATCCATTCTATGTAACTGCCTGTTCTGCCCTGCCTGTTTCTTGCCTGATAAAAGGTTTGGGATGGATGTGGGGCTCTTTTCCCTGGCTTCTGAAACTTTTAGCACTCTGTGGTTTTACCTGGTCCCCCCTCAGCAATTCACCCAGAGAGGAGGCAGGGGCACAACTCTCAGCATGAAGAACAGCTCAGGACACAGCTGCTGGGCTCCAGTGCTCTCACCTGATTTGGTGCCTCTTGCTCATTTCTCTTGTCCTCAGCCTGCTTCTGCACTGTTTGCCTCTGTTTCAGTGAAAAGTGTGTCTTTTAAAGTATGGACATACTTGTTTAAAACGCAGAAAAATGTATTTATGTGGTAATCTGTGATAATTTGATGGTAATCACCTCATCAGTAAACAGAGTGAATGACTGATTGATAGTTCAACCAAATTGCAAGGCCTTCTGTATCTCAAGGCTTCTCCTGAGGTTCTAAAATCCATTTCAACTAATTAATTTCTGTAGATGATCTTCTAATGTACTTTACCTGTTTTCTCTTTAGCATTTGAGGACTGTTCTGCAATCCTTTCATTTTTTATGGCTAATATCACTTAAGAAGTATGATTTCGTGTACCTGAGAAGATTGAATACAGTAGAAAATTATATTTTAGTGGTGATGGTTTCTTCTTTAGGATCCACATTCTGCTTTCCAAGTTAGTAAGGACTTTCAATGACCTGCTAACCTGCAAAAGGGTGAGCTCTTGGGGACAGAAGAGTTAATTTAATTGTATAGGACTAACCCCAGTTCCCTCACCTGTATGTTTTCAGCATGCTGAAATCTATCAGAATATAATTAACTTTTTCAGACATGGCCTTTCAACTATTTTAGCTTTATTTCTGTGTATATTTTTTAACATACTGTGTTGAGAGAAGGTGCTTGTATGTGAGAGACATTCTCTACTTCTGTGACTTGTGCAACTTTTTCAGGCTGAGGTTCAAATTTTTGCCTCTTTTCTACAGATTATTGTGGTGTTGTGTTAGAATTAAACACAGTTTTATGGACCTTACAGTTCTGAAAGTTATAATTCATAACCATAAGTGGGGAATCTCTTGATCTCTTTCATGTCACTTGGATATCCTAGACTCCTCGGCCTAAAGGAAAAAGATGAACCTGAACTGTATTCAATTTTATTGAGGCTAAACTTTATTAAGTAAAATCCAACATTTAACAGCAGCAGGCCTTGTGCCATATTGTACTGTGATTATTTTCTCTGGATCAGTGAAATTTGTGTGTCAAGGGGAAGAATTACAAAAGATGGGGCTTATAGAGGTGTTTCATGTTAGGCCGAGCAAGAATTTATTTCTTTCTGAAGGGGAGGAACAAATCTGACATATCCTGGGAAACCTCAGCTGTGGGCAGACACTAAACCTACTTCTTCCTTCTATTCCACACCTAAGTTGGTCCCACCATCCCCACAAGTGAAAGGAGAGGTCCCCTGAGAGGGGTCAAACAAATTAAATTGTGCATGAACAGAACCTATTCCAATAAACTTATCTGCATTGTGGATGTGGGCTTTGGTCCCACTGTGGCACAGGGAATGATTTAGGGCAGCTCCTCCCCAAGGTCAGCTTAGATGCAGCCCTGTCCTGCTGGAGCTGGGCCAGTGGGAGTAGACACAGCCAAGGTCGGGCTCACTGATACAAAGGCAGTACCATGTTCTTCTGAGACTCATAGCCTTGCCTCATGGGTTACCTAGAGCTGTTGTTCCACCTTGGACTTGCAAGGAGAGGAACTCCTTGGGCGTATAAAAAGTTACAGTTCAGCTACTTCAGGCATTTACCTCCCCATTTCACTGGGGTGGAGGGAAATGCTGACTGAGCCACTTCTCCAAAGTGCAAGGTACCTCCTCCTGGGCCTTTCTCCATACAGCATCGCCCAGCTTTGTGAGCAGCAGCTTCCTGAGGCCATTAGTTAGTCTTTGTTTGCAGATGGGTAAACTGAGGCAGCAATGCTGGATGACCAGCCAAGGTCATGAATAAAATAACCATTAAAAGCAGACCCTTTTAAGTCCTTGTTTCTCTGCTTTAACTGTGATCCTATAGGCTTCCATACCTGGAGAACATAGTCTCTACGTGTAGTTTCAGGTGCAGAACATTTAAAGGACAATGTTAGAAGTCTTCCCACAAATAGGTCTTTGAGAAAGAATGTGGGATCAAGCTTTCAGTTATGGCTCTGTGCAAGGTCCCATGGGTAAAATGCAGTTTCAATCCTTTGCAAAATATTCAGATTGACTTTCCCTATGTGGCAAATCTGTTGAAATCTGGATAAGCTGCACGGATTTATACTGAGGAATGCTCTCCTGACATCAGTGTTGCCACCTCATATTTCTAATTTGACAATTTTATAGGGCTTTAAAAAAATTACTTATACTCTTGCTGAAACCTTAAAGCCTGTAACAAATCTAACATGGGTTAGTTACAAACAAGCATATGGGATATCTGAGTGGCAGTAGTACCTGCATAAATTTGAGGGTAGTTGCTTTTTTGTGATAGTGCTGCATGCTATGTGAGAAGAGCACTGAATCAGCTTAGGCTGATCCTTGGAGGAAAAAATGTACAAAGATAATTGTAATTCCTTCCGAACAAACAGAGGGAAAGCAAAAAAAATGGAATTAAGTTTTAGCTTTCTGGTTCTCTGCTACAGGATTTATTCACAAATCTAAACCATCTGCCCCACAGAGACATGCTGATCTGTGGAGAGACAAACCTGTTACCTTCCAGCTGCTCTGCTCTCTATGCTTTACATCTCCCCCAGCAGAAAAAGTTAATATGACTTAATCAGCTCCCCACAACTGGGCTTTGCCACTCTCTGGATTGTTTCATAGACCAAGTCTTATAACTCAGTCAGGCAAGGAGATTTACAGAGCAGCACATACTTTCAGGGCTGTAGTGCCCATCAGTTGAAAGTCTAAGTCATTAAAGATTAAAACTACATCCCCAGTTTGTTTTTGTTTTATTTTTCCTCTTTTGTGTGTATGTGTTACAGGATTGTGGCTGGCTGTAGAAAACAGCTGATCTTTTATCAGCTTTTAATGAAATGACATGATTACCAGAGCCCTCCTAGCTCTCAGTACACCTTGAGAATAGAACTTCACATCTTTGTGAATCCTGAAGCAATTTATTTATGTCAGAGAGTAAGATATCTCAATCTAATTTTATTTGTTTAAGGAATTTGATGTAAAAGTCTTCCATCTTTTATTGGCATTGAATAAAGGATTTTTTACACATTAAATACAGAAAAATTATATACTTCTGTATATATTAATAAAGAAGTGAGGACTTAGCAGTTTATCTATACAAAATGTCTGTTTGCTTATATTTAATTTTCAATATTTAGCAGTCATCACTGGATTTTACTTATCTATCACCCAGATTTATAATACAGGATACAGACTATGGCACATTGATTTGTTTACATGCAAAGATGTTCTCACTATTACTTAGTTACTTGATTTTTAGGTACAGTGGACAGGTGGATAAATAGACAATACAAGAACTAAATACATGTTCTTCCTCATCCTACAATTAAAGTGCCTACAAATCAATAATACACTTAGTATTCTTACGAAGCTGTTGTCATTTTTAAAAATTCAGTTTAACACCTATGGATTTACTATTGTCCTTATAAAACAAGCTCAGTATGTAAATCCTAGGAAGATCAGCTGGATTATTTTTGTTTTACTTTTGTATCAGACTAGATTTGATATTTCTCAAAAGCTTATTAAAACAAAACAAAACAAAAATTTAAAAAGGAAAAAGAAAGGTAAATAGCAAGACTTCAGTCTCAGCAAGCTGCAGCTCAGGTTTTCAGGCAGTCCCACATCACCTTCCAGCACTGCCTTCCCGGTACAGCGGCGGCTCCCCTGCCCCCGCGCCGCCCTCCTCTCACACCGGGCCCCCGGTCCTCTGACGAGGAAGAAACTTGGATGTTTTTTGTTCGCACAGACCCTGAGCGAGCCGGGCAGGCGCTGCCGGGGCCCTACGCCCGCTTGCCGCTGTCGAGGAGCTCGGTCAGCTCGCTGATGTACTTGATGGTGTACTTGAGGGTCTGTATTTTGGTGAGGGGCTGGCCGCGCTGGCTGTAGACGGGGGGCAGGTAATCGCGCAGCGTGTGCAGCGCGTCCGCCAGGGTCCTCATGCGGAGCTTCTCCCGCTCGCTGGCCTTCCTGCGGCGCTGCGCCGACATCCGCGCCTTGGGCAGCCGGGCCGCGCCGGGCCCGCGGGCCGCGGGCAGCTCCGCCAGCCCCAGCCCCAGCCCCGCCAGCCCGCCGCCGTAGGGCGCCTCGGCCGCCGCCGGGCACGGCGACGACGAGTAGGATTCGAAGGAGGGCGTCGGGGATAAGCTGTGCGCGGGCGAGACGGGGTGCAGCTCGAAAGGCCCAGCGGAGCTTTTCCAGTCCCAGGGTGCCAAGCAGGCGGCGTGTTCCGAAGCCAGGGCATCTTCCATGTGTATCAGCGTCTCGTGCAGCTTGTCCATGCGGGAGGAGCGCTCGGGAGGAGCGGTGCCCTCTGCCCAGCAGCAAAGGCTGGAGCCGCCGGCTGCCGAGGCCTTTTTATGATGGAGGGAGGAAAGTGACGGAGTGGGAACACGGGCCCGGTGCGAGGAGTTCAAAGGAGCGCCAGAAGTGCTAAGATAGAAAATGAACTCCTGATGTGCTAGTTTCTTCTCAGTGATAATTATCAACCTTCAGCTAAAAAGCCTTTAAGCTAACAGGCAACAGCAAGAAAGAGAGAATAAAAGATTATCTTCTCACAACTAAACCGATTAAGGCTGCGCATCTACCTGAGCATTGTGCTAGGGGGAAAAGTGCTGGGAGAGGAAAAAGAAAATTAACCATCTTACAAAACAATTTACAGATCTACAATTTACTGGTTGCTGACACAGACCCTATATTTAAGCCATCGAGCCCTGATTTCTGGGTAACTGAAGGTGATGGCACTACAGCAGTGAAGATGTGGCCCGTGCTGGCTGCTGCTGGGCTAGTCTCTTTTCTGCACATTAATTGTGAAAGTCAAAGATGGTTTGTTTGGATTTTTGTGTGTTACGGCTCTCTGTGGATTTTTCTTCTCATGAGATTGCAACACACGAGAAACCAATCACTTCGGTTTTCAATATGAGAAAGGAGGAAACAATTGCAATACATTCCCCTGCAGTTTGTAGCTTTATGTGCTATTTTAATACATGACTGGGAAATCAAAAAGGAAATCTATAATTCTAAACAAGGTCAAAGTCCCATTAAAAAATAGGAAAATGTAATTAAAAAGAAAGGTCTAGGAAGCAAAATACACGGTGTATAAACTTTGGGTCCAGACAAATATTTTCTATGGAAATTTAATTCAAAGTAATATACAGGTTATATATGTGTTAAAGAAGAGTAGAAGCTACTTCTGTAAAAATTTCTACCTCTAGGAATCTGTTCTTCTGGCCAAAAAGCCCTTTTCCAGCCCCAGTTCAATGCAACAGTGGTTATATGTTATAAAGTTCAAGTGAAAATGTATAACTTATAAATTAATATCATTAATAACAAGCACTTTTCATCTCTAGGCTTCAGTAATGCTTCCAGTGATGATTAATGTTCTCTATTACTCTGGGGAAATGGATAAGTAGAGGCAAGGAGGAACTTTCCCTAAATCACACAGCAAAGCATTAGGAGAGCCAGGGAAACTGTCCAAAACTCCTGAGCTCTGCAGCTGTTGAGCAGTTTGGCTGCCAGCCATGACTTTGTGTTGGCACATAATGGAAACAAAACGTAAGATATAATGAAAAGAACGGGAGAAATAGCATCAACCTGGAGGAAAAATAAAAGTAGGATTTATTTTAGAGTTTCCTTCTGTATAATGATCTCTGTGTGCTCCATAATCCACTCCAAACAAAGGCAGGGAATGCCTCAGAATTGTACACAGCCAAAGTATGCTGAGGTTTTCTGGAACATGCCACTTCTTCCTGTGAAATCCTCACTACAACCACACAGAAAAAACCCAATCCAATACTCAGCGTAGTCACTGGGAAGGCTTTTGTGAGTTTTTGTGATGTATCAAAACATTAGGGGGCATTTTATGGTTTAAGACTTACTGGGTTTATCCTGAGATGAATAAGAAAGTACCAAAAAGTGAAGGACTTTTGCATTTCAACCAAGGCTGAGAAAGTTTGACTATCATGACGTCTATCCCACACAAGAGCACAGAGCACTGCTCCTACAGACAGGATTGCTTTGTGTTTTATGGTTACCTTATCATATTCTGAGCTGTTCTCTGGTCCTTCTTTAAGGAAAATGAGATTAAACAGTCCTAGGAAGCACAGAGGGGCTAAAACTGCTAAAAACTAAAATTAAGACAAGATGACATGTATTTTTTGTGACTTCAGTGATCTGAATGGTTTCATTAAGTACCCGGACAATGGTCACAATGTCACAAGTTAGACACAAGGTCTAATTTTGCATAAATAGGGAACTTGTTCTATCCCTCTCTTTTTCCTTTTTCCTCCCTGTGTTTGTGTTTATAGTGTCTTTTCCATTTGATAGGGCCCCTGCTCTTTTTCCCCTGCTCTTTTTTAATGTCTTTTTTTTTCCTCTAAACACAGCAATTAAAAGACTACAATTACAGAAATATAAGGAGGGGGAGGTGGAAAAGGAGGTACTTTTGTCAGGATGTGAAAAGGAAAAGAACCTTCCCAATACATGTATGTATAGATGTCTACATGTACATAATATATACATATGGAATATATAAATATATTAAAAATACACATTTATTTAAAAATAAATATAATACACATTATATTTAATATATAAATATATTAAAAATACACATAGGGAGCATATATATAGGCTGTTCTGTACAGCAGTTTCATTTTGGAACCAAATAGCAATTTAATGCAGTCAAATTTAGAAGCAAAAACTTCAACAAGTCACTTGTTTGCTGACTACAAATATTGTACCTCACCAGTTAATTTATGGGTATATCACAGAAAGTGTTGCTCAGACACCAAGGGGGGAAAGGATTTGTGCACATACAAGATTTTGTACAGATTTTTGCTGTGAATGAGAGATTAACACATTCTGATTTCATCTCTGTGTTCTTATATATTGGGATTCAGAGGAGATTAGGCAGGGAAGAGGAATGCAAAGTATAGCAATAGCTATTTATTTTCCTTTATTTTATGAGTAAATGTCTAGAGCAACCAAGGCAGGGTATGAGAGTATGGAGATGTTGCATGAAAATCACTGGATCTTGTAAGCTTATGCTTTTGTGAACTGTTAACACAAGCAAGAAAAATGTACAGGCTTTTCTACATTAATAGATATTATGAGGCTAATGCCTTGCAGTTGTAGTGCATCCTTTTTATGACCATTGTGCTCCCTGCCGCTGTTTTAGCTTGGGCATGCCTGTTTATGTCCCAAAGGCTGCCTGGCTGTGGTCCAGCAGAGGCCACCGAGGGCACAGGGGTGAGCAAAGGATTTCCCCAGACTAAAGCAAGTGTTGCCTCAGCACATCTTCAGAGCCAAAGAAGGGGCTGTGCCCTGTTTGCCCTGCTGGTGGAGATGCAGACAGAGGTTCTGTTTGGAAAACTAGCCACCCATATCTGGCCACAGCCCCCAGCTTCCCGAAAAAGACTCAAATGAAGCGTGCCTCAGTTTTGGCTGAATTGGGAAACTTTGTAACACCTCTCCATGATCCTGGTGTGACCCACAGCCTGCATAAGTCAGCAGAGTCTCGTGGCATCTAGCTGCTCTTGGATTAATTCGTTTTGGACAATCCTACATTTGCCACAAGAATGAGAATCTCACTTAGGAGATTATCTTGCAAAATATTTAAGAAAATTATAACATGCAAAAATCAATAGGAATGGTAGAACAGGTCTCAGTGTTATTTATAACGCTTTAAAAAGTATCACACAGAGGAAGGTAAGTCTACAGGCTGGATACCTGATTTATTTTTCTAAACCCTATGGCAACTGGATGGTCTCATTGAAGTACTAAGAAAGTCTAGTATTTCAGGTGGCCCCTTCCTAGACAGTAAATACACAGAAAAAGGAAAAGAAAAATTTTGCAATCTTTATTTTATTCTACCTCCTCCAAATTCTAAGAATTTCCTTTTTGTCCATTAATGTCAAAACATTGAAGGAAAGTGAGATACTAGGCTGACAACACCAATGAAATATGAATTGACAAAAAATGATAAGGCATTTTCTTCTTGACTGGTAGTTTTCATTTCAATAATCTGTTCTGCAGTACAAAGGCTAATGTCTCAATCTTCATCTCCTTTAAAATGAAATGTTCCTTGCTCATATTTTTGAATTCATCACAGGAACATGGGTGCATGGAAGGAGCAAAAAATTTTCTATTTAAAAAACCCAAACCACCCACAGTATAGAAAATTTCTAGAGCTTTAGGTTTTACATTTAAAATAAGAAGTCCAGATAATATGGCATGATTATGTATGGTATTAAAAAAAAGCATTTTTGTGTACAGCAATTTACAACTGATATTTTTTTTTTTCTATATTAGAATGCATTTCCACCATGCTGTAATTTTGGTAGGAGAAACAGACAGTGAGTAAAAAACTCACTGGTATCAACCCAGCCACTATACCCACTGGTATAGTGGCTAGGAAGAATGCAGGCTGAAACTGAATAAACATGGATAAATGTGTTTAAATAACACTAATCTCATCACAGTGAGCCTCCTTTACAATCAGGACAGAAGTCTAGGCTTATTTTTCACAAGGAGCAGGTCATACTAATGTCATTGTAGAGCACTTAGATGATACAGTCTTATCGTGCAGTTTGTGAGGTAAAAAAAAAACGACATCTCCCAAAAGCTTTTAAAGTCACTTCACCTCCTCTTTTACAAACAGTTCCCCAAGTATTGGCTGCAACACCTCGCTTGCTGTGGATGTGTCTGTGGCCTTCCTGCACAAGGAGTCAATCACCACATATAAAATGTGGGGCAAGCAGCTGCAGGTCTCACTAAGTTCAGCAGACGCAGCAGGTGTTCAACACTTCTGAAAAACAGTGTTGAACACCTCTGTTTACATCCAAGCTGGCAATAAAGGAAGGAAAGTATTCACCACATTTGTTATCCAGACTCATATTAGCCACCAGACAACGCTTCTCTCCTTTTTAAGGCTTTGCCTCAGTTTGGATAGAAATTTTTTTTTTTTTTTTAGAACTTTTAGACCTTGAAGCTTCCTTCCTACTTGTAGAAGTGGACATCTGGGTCCAACCTCAACTGAAACAAATAAGGCTTCTGAATATAGAGAGAAAAAAGGCAGTAAGAGAACAAGGACCAATTCTTAGTCCAGGCCTGTAAGAGGGAGGCCAAAACCCTTACTATAGTCAATGAAAATAACGTGTAAATTAGATGTCTAATTGTTATTAGACAACTAGACCATCTTTGGTCAAGCAAATCTGTGGCTAGCACAAAAGAAACTGTTGTTATTAATTTGTAGTAAGATGAGAAATAGTCTAGTTCTAATGATGTTAAAAAAATCCTGCCATAAACATGTAGAATTTTTAATGTTCTCAAGGGTGCAACTCCAAAATATCCAAACTGAACCCTGCTCATGGAGAAGAAACAGTCAAGTGAGTATCACTGATTTCTCCAGGGCTTTACATAGGGAACAAGCATTTCTCTGGTGTTGGACTGGCAGGATCAGGACTTATCTATTTGCTTTACATCCTCAAATGT